ATTTTAAGTAGTGTTTTTGAATTTAATTATATTTTTAATGAAATGATAGTTATTTTGTGAATTTTATGTTTGTAGGAATTTGGTATACGTTTAAGTTGAAATAAACGTGCATGGAAATAATTTAAATATTGATACTAAGTATTTGTAATGCTTGCGGTATGAATTCGTTGGTGACGTTGTATAATGTAATAGATGATTTAAAGGTAAAAGTTTTTGGATATTTTATTTATTTTATAGTGGAAATGTTCATATTGTAAAGGGTAAATACTTTTTTGCGATCAGGTAATTTCATATATGTTTCTTTTTAACGGGTTTTAAAGATTGAGAAAATTGTCATGTATTTTTGTGAAATTTTTCTAATTTATGAGAAAAAAGCAGTTGTACATTGGATATAGTGAAGAGTGTGCGCAATGCCATTTTTGTGCAATTCTGGGATTTTTTTTTAAGTAAAAATAAGTTGCCGTGTACATGGTTTATGTGTATGTGTTATTTTGAAAAATGCGTAAGGAGTATGGTATTGTGCAGTTTTTCCCAATTTTGCAGTGAATATTTGTCATGATTAAGCAGTTTTGTTTGATAAAATTTCTAGCATAAGTGTAATTCGGCTACTAGATTGTTGGAAGAAGTGTTCAGTAGATAAAAAAAGAAAAGAAACATATCTTTACTTCGTGAAGACAAAATGGCGGCGGGGAAAAAAAATGGAGGGTTGTTGTAGGAGAGTTGGTTGCCAAATTTTCGCCAAGTTACCATAATGTAAAGATCAACCAAACACTTCAATGAGAGGTCCGAGTGTCTCGTACACCTCTTCCCTTACCTCGAAAGCACTTTCGGCTTCCACGTATATTGAATGGCCCTTTACCACACAGACACACTGTACACTTATCAAACATCCATGCTTTCTCTGGTTAAAACCCAGACACATCAGTACAGCAATCAGCTACTATACCAGCTGGGTGGCATGCAAGGGGCAACATATATCGCTGAATTTTGAATGTAGCACATACATGGATTTTCACTTTGGGCTAAATTTTTGCAACAAAATTTTTTCCTAGGCATTGACACAGACCGGCACATATTCAGAAATATGTGGCAAGTTTCAGTATGGTACAAAAGATTAAAATTAAGTAACTATAATTTCTATACAATAATAGTAATTTCTATAAAATAACTATAATTTGCTTGCTTATGCCACAGAAAAAAGGAATAAGCTACTTCTTGAGCAGAGTCATATATTCCTATGGTACAGTATTTGTATGCAGTATTCAAGTTCCTGCACTGTACCCATATGCACTCAGTAACGAATATAAAAACTGAACTTTTCCTTGAGAAACTCACTTTTGCATCCATTGCTATTTGTCCATGGTTATCTTACTTTTATGTTTTCCCAAAGTTCTTGACCTTCCTTTAAACGCACCTTCTGACAAGTGTGGAGTCATGTGGAAGTTAAATGGCCCATGAGCTTTTACAAGATCTCAAAAAAGTTATACTGCGAATTTTACTAATCAACAGTTTGATTGATACACCTTTACTGATTATTTTCATGAATGCAGAAAAGTACTGCAGTAGAATGCCGGCATAAACACATCTGTACAACATATCAGTGCATATCTTGAGACTGTAAGGCTAAAATTATTTTAAAAGTCAAGGCGTACCACTGAGTGCTATGACTGGCTTTATTCAGTCATGAGATTTTTTGTCACTTATTATATTGAGTCATATGAAAAATTTCCACACTTTTTTGCCACTAGATAGGGTTGATACCTACATATCCGACAACACTCACCCGATTGTCTTAAACCAACATGTGCTTAAAAGGTGATATTCAGCCTCCATTGTTTGTGAAGATAGTTTTTTAATTCATTGCTCGTGTAAAAAGTTGTATGAATTTGAAACTGAGCGAAATATCTGAATATGCTATGTGGCGCTTTTTTACTATAAAAAAAGATAAAATCACTGAAAAAACATGATGAAAATTTTTTGAAGTGTACGGTGAGAATGCTGTGAGTAAACAAAAGTCCCAGGAGTGGTTTGCTTGATTCTGTTCCGGAAATTTAAGATCTCAAAGATGCACCTCGCTCTGGTCCGCCAGCCACTGAAAAAATCAATAAAATTTTACCACTGGTGGAGCAAGACCAGAATGCAAGCTGTCAGAAAATAGAGGAGGCACTAAATATCAACAGCATGACAGTTTGGAATCATATGAAAAGAGCAGGCTACAAAAAGAAGCTCCATGTTAAGGTGCCACATGAAGTAAAGCAAAGAAATTTGATTGACCGAATTACCATCAGTCAAATGCTGCTGAAGCGCAATGAAATCGAATCATTTTTCGAGCAAATTATTACAGACAATGAAAAACGAGTGAAATACGAGAATATCAAATGCAAGCGATCATGGTCAAGGACCAGTGACCCTCCACAAATGTCCTCAAAGCCTAGATTGTCACCAAATAAGGTTACGTTGAGTGTTTGGTGAGATTGGAGAGGGATTGTCAATTACGAGCTGCTGCAACTTGGTGAAACCATCAATTCAGCCCTGTACTGTGTATAACTCTACCGTTTAAACGAAGCAATCCAGGAAGAGCCACGAAAATTGGTCAACAAAAAGGGAGTTGTGTTCCGTCACGACAATACACCGCCACACACATATTTGATGACTCAAAACAAATTGGCACATACGGCTCATACAGCTACCTTCTATCACCCCCTTAAGTTTTGCCCACTTGTTCAAATTCACCCTGTATATTAAATTCAACAGACACAATCACAAATATTGTTTTAATTTTATAGCAGTTGAACAATGGATGAAGAACACTATTTTAGCTGTAAAAGCTTCATATTTTTATTTATAACAAATCACACACATATATTTAAATATAAGTGAACTGTTTGAATATATTTTTATGAAAACAAAATTTTAAAATATTCTATTACCTGAATTTGATTATTATCTATTTTAATTTTATATATACAACAAAAGCTTTTAATTTTAAACACATGATACAATTAAATCTTCGTTTGAAACTCAGTTCAAATATTGAGTTTGATACAATCCAACTTAAGGCATACATATTTATTAAATACCACAATTACAGCAATGTTTTAAAAATTGAAATAACTAATAACAAACATCTATAAATGTAATTAAAAATTTTAAATCCAACAAGTTTTAAAATCATTTCATTCATACAATAATAATTCTACAATTTTCTGAAGAACAAATTTAACATAGAATAAAAATTTATTAAAAAATAGTGTAATTCATTTACAATTCATATTAATTATATAATTCGACTGGATGTGATTTTATGGATAATGAAAGACTTAACTACTCATTATGTAGGAAGTATCAACTGGTATTTTGGACAATTTTCACTGCTAATACTTTTAATTAGATGGGCAACTTCCAAGTCTTAAATTCATTTGATAATGCAGCAAAAAATAAACAACTTTCTATACACAAATAACTTGCACATAAATTTAAAATACAGTTTGTATACTCTGAAACAAACTTAAAACTTACATAATTTTTAAACAATTTAAACTTATATAGTGTTACTATCTTATATACTGTATTAAAATACTGTCTTTAAATACCATATATAACAGATAAAATCAAAATAATAATAAAAAGTATGAATCTTGCATTTTTACAAATCTTACAATTATCACATTTATATAAAAATAATCTATTAGTAATGTTTAACAGGTAAATATTTACACACAGAAAATCTTTATAATTGACGGTAAATATTTATAATGTTAATAAAAGTTTCAATGCAATTCATTTCTGAATATCTGTAATTTTAGACTGATGTAAACAGTTTATAATGAGAATTCAAATTTAATACCCGAGTAAATAAAAATTTGATATAGGACTTCAGTTAATATTAAGAAATTTGTATTCAAAGATAATTTCCAAAATGCGAAAATATTCTTTTATGTACAGTACTTTTAATCATCTATAATACCATTTAAATAAAAGCAAAATTTTACTTTCTTCACCTCATAATATAATGCTTAAAAATTAATTTGTTACACATTATTATACATATTCAAAATGTAAACAGTATTCATGAAGTTATTGATCATAATAATGACATAAAATTAATTTATACATGAAGCTACCCTTCCCAAAGCATTCTGAAATGAGAGAGAAATACAATTTTCTCTCTTCCACCTCATAAGAATGTTTACAAATTGATCTGTAACCTTATAGTCTACCGCCCTAACATTCGAGCAGCAGTTCTAAAATTAAAATTATAGAATAGTTTAAAGGCAAAATATAAAGAAAAATTATTAATCATACAAGATAGTTCAATAATCATAGATAATATTAAATCTGAAAAGAAGCCTACACAGAACTCTTACTCCAAATGCTTATTTCTCAAAAAAATTGCGACAGAGAAGTCTTCTTATTACGTATTGAATATTCATTATTTGGTACATTAAATAAGTAAACCACCATGACTAAGCAACTTGATTTCCTTACGGATGAAAGCATTTACAAATGTGATTAAGCTATAATAATTTTAAAATACCGATACCGAATTTACCTGAATGTACTTAAAAGATTTTCCGGTCCGCTTAAAGCATACTTTCACTCCAAAGAAGCAACTTTTATGCAATTAGGTTATAATTTTACACAAAATACATTTAGTAATTAGTTTCAGTCCGTAACATGAATTAATTAAATATATTATCTAGGACGTTTTGCAATGATAAATGAAATAACACTTTAGATACACGAATTAATGAACTTAAAACGCATGACTAATGCACTTACGTTGCCGAATAAAAATAAATTCCGCACAGCAGTTCTTTATTTCACCGCATTATATTCGACAGATTCCTTAGGGGACAGTTGTAGACAATGTATATCAAAACAAAAATCTAAATTAAGAATACGACAAAAAATCTTATCAAAAATTAGTTTAAAGGGGTGTTTAAATTGCATATCGTGCTCCTAAGCCTATACTATATAAAAAGAGACAATATGAATACCTCGGAAAAAGTTTCATGGTACTTATTAATATTAGTTACATCACTATAACAATTCTCACGGACTATATGATTCAGACCATCCTCAACATAAAATTTCACAGGCAAACTGTCTTTAGAGGAAGAGGTCTTCTCCTCCATACCCGAACATGCTGCCATCTTGAAAACTACTGAAGAGATTCTTAACAAGGAAAATGATTGGCCAATATAGAGAAAATAGGTTGACTAAGCTTGATTGATTGCCAGAAGCGACATATTTTATGTGATTATTACTTACAACATGAAAAACTTGCCGAGAAATTTAGCTATATAATAATAGCCCTTACACAATTTTTTGAAGAAAATTAGAAGATTAAATAAAAATAAAGCTGAACGTGACAAACAAAAACTTCTCCTTCCCCTCCACCAGATACAGGTTGTGTCTCTGAAGCATGCGATTAATGCACAAAAACATGCATTAAGGTCTGAAACAATTTTTGAATTAAAATACGTGCATAACTTCAAAATATTCTGATAAAATGTAAAAGGAAATAAATATGTTTCATAAAGTTTTATTTCTCTAGCCTCTGTGTAAATAAATATATACATCATCCTTTCTTTAGTCTTTTTGTAAATAATCTAAATTATTTTCTTCTAGCCTGAGAATAGTTAGCTCATCTTACTTACTCGAAAATTATTATTATCGCAGAAGAAATTCAAAATCTATAATAGGAAATTTCTTACGACTTTCCCAAGAAGAAATCATAAAATTACCCAAAAGTAAACTTTAGAGCTAGTAGAGTGCTTTATAGTAGCCTTAGTAAATTTTTAAACGAGCATTCAGATAAATAGTACTGTTTAAATTTAACATTAATTGGTAAGTTTTATTAGTATCCTTTTTACGGCAATGCGTGTAACGAATTTAATAATCAAATTTCCATAATTTGGCTTTTAAATTGTGTTTAATTAAAATCAATAGAAAAGCGGCTAGATGAATTGATATTTAATTTTGAAATAATAATAGCGCTTTCTATAGAGGCAAGGCTTACAAGTTGCACAATGAGAAAAAACACTGATTAGTTAACTCAAGCTCGAATTCTAGCAAACGGTTAGGCATATACTATATGGGCATTTCCATGGCTTTTTGCATAAGTAACATGAATACTAACCAAATCTCTTTAGAAACTTCTCAACGAAAACATCCTTATCTTAAGCAGATACCCCACGCGTGCTTTACCGTAAACAAAGCGGCAAATCATTAAACAAATCATCTACAGTCGTGAACTGAAGATGGAGAATTATCGACGTCAGTTATCGAAGCACTAACTTTCCGATTCATAGGAGAGCACTATAACAATTGAACCAAAGGCTTGTTCGTAGTATGTAACTAAGAACTGTATTTATTTTATGCAACTAAGAGAGTTCTCTATATAGACCTTCTTAAACGCGTTTCGCAACCTTGTTCAAGATTTTGTCTGAGAAAAAGACATTTTGCTAAAAAAAAAAACAAACTTAGCAACCGGAATTTGTATAAATTATCGAAAAATGTTTTTAAAAAATTAGTAGCAGGAATTTGTTATGCTAATGTTAAATGCTAAATGTTATTTGTTGTTGCTGATTTTTATTTTCTTCATTTGGTTTACACATGTGTAATACAGTCAAAAATTCCGGATTCATTCTTTAATCCGGACGTCCATAATCCGGAATAATCTATAATCCGGACCTCAAAGCTACAAACTTTCTGCGCATGAGTCAACGCATTCTTAAAATACGTTCACGCATGCGCACATGCGTCTACGCACGCGCATAATACGCTTACGCATGCGCGTTTAATGTATGCCGAACGGTATAAGCTAAGCTAAAATTATCTAATTATCTATTTCAGTTAATGTTGCAGATTGCGTTGTTCCTTAATCTTCTAATTGGACCGGCTTATTATTTTTTGCAGACTGTTAGAGCAATTTTATAAAAGTAAGCTTGAACTTTTGATAATGTCAAAAAAAATTTTCGATTCTGGAACTACCAAAGCATCTACAAAGCGAAAGCATGTTTCGATGTCCATCAAACAAAAAGTGGCATTGCTGCAAAAAATGGATAAAGGCATATCCTTTGATTCTCTAATCATTCCGAAATATGTTTATAAATTTCACGCTGCCCTGCGGCCCGGGGGGGACGACGCGGCGCGCAATGAGCTGGAAGTTGATCTGTCAGCACTATCCTTATCTTCAGGGCAGATGTTTTTATTTTATTCGGCTTATAATTCCTTACTAAATGTAGTATTTCATCTCGATGTACTCCGTCTTTGATATGATTTAAATCAAATTCCTCGTCATTATAAATATCACAAATACACATCAAATAGTTTTCTGGTTGCAATTTTCCAATTTCGACTATGCGTAATGTATGCTTTACGCCTGCGCGCGTTGAAAGAAATGTTTAATAAAGTAAACAAATAAATATAAAGCTTTTTTTGTAAATTTTGATACCCTTTAGATCATAATTGCTCTTTGTTTCATAAATTACGGTTTCATATTTTTAATTTTATAATTTCTGCATGTCATCTTACCAGATTTAAACTGATGACCTATAATCCGGAAAAACCGATAATCCGGAATCGCCGAAGACCCGACAAGTCCGGATTAAAGACTTTTGATTGTATCATCATAGGAGCAGTGAGAGGTATAAACTTCATTTCATAGAACCAGAGCCTAGGAGCATGAAACTGCCCTTTGGCCTGGTCTTGGAACCGGATCAAACTAACATTGTTCGTCGATCAAAATAGAATTAAACATGTGCTAAGAGGTACCGCTTTCTTCATTAGTTGAGGAAAAAATTTACTATAGCGTTAAAGTTCTCTGACTTTTTCAGTTATCCATATGAAGTGAAGTAAATCGATATAAGAGAGTAAAAAGAGATTGAGCTAAGTAATAAGAAAAACGACTTCTTTCTCGATGTTTTAAAATAATAAAATCAACAAGGGAATTTTTCCAGAAAAGGATCAGATTCATTTCTACTTCATTCAATATAATATTTTCAATGCACTGCAATGTGTAAAATTTTTAATGCACTGTATTTTATTCTAAATGTTTCCTTGATTGTGTGCCTGACAAATTAGCATTCCGTTTCAAAGACAGACGTGCAATTTTAGCAATCTCAGACTTCTTCAGTTAAATACACTCATGTCCATAAATTAAGGATAATGCAAAATCAGGCATGGAAGAGTTAGAATCAAAACAAATTTGACTTATTTGTAAAACTTATTTATTAAACAAAAGGTAAAGCAAAAAAGATGCCATATGTTTGATATTATTAAAAAAATTAGCGATTTTTTCTCCCTGGAGTAAATTAAAAAAAAAACTTTTTACAAAAAAAACCTTTTTACAAAAAACCAATATTACATGGTTGCTATGATTGTTAATACATTGTATGTCTCCAGACGATGCAATACAGTCCGTACAACGCCTAGCCATGCTGAGTATCAAATTATCGATCTGATCTTGGGGGATATTACACCACTCAAAAAGCAATGCTCTCCGAAGTTCCGGCAGATATGTAGGAGGAGGTTGACGGGCTGCAACTCGTCGGCCAAGCATGTCCCACACGTGCTCTACTGTATTCAAGTCCGGTTAGAATGCTGGCCAGTCCATACGGATGATATCCTCCGATTGAAGGCATTCGCTTACGATGTTTGCACGGTGAGGACGGGCGTTGTCATCTATAAACACAAATTGTGCCCCCATGGCGCACCGAAACAAACGTACATGTTGTTCCAGAATGATGTCCCGATAGATTTGGCTTGTCAAGGTTCCAATTTGAACATGTCAGTATGGAACCCAGAATAATTCCACCCCAAACGAGCACTCCTGCACCACCGTAACGGTGTCGTTCAATGATGTTTTCTTGGTGGTAACGGGTACCTGAAGCTCTCCATATGAAAGTCCGGCGAGAATCAGACTGCAAGCTAAACCTGGACTCGTCGGAAAACATCACACAAGCTCACTGTTGCGGTGTCCACAATACATGCTCTCTACTCCAGGCTAACCGCAGGCGACAGTGAGTTGCAGTAAGTGGAACGCATCTGACAGGTCTACGAACATATAGACCAATCTGCCCTAAGCGTCTGTACACGGTCTGCCTTGAAATTGTCGTACCAGTGGCTGAAGAGAGCTGACGAGACAGGTCTGAGTCTGTGCTCCGCCTGTTTCTTTTGGCAGTAACTGCCGAATACCGGTCCTCATTCGGCGTTATAACTCTGGGGCGACCTGTGCTGTAACGTCTACTCACATTATCATCATCTTGGAATCGTTGCCAAAGTCTGGAGATGACACTCTGGTCAATTCCAAGTTCGTCTGATACTTCCAGTTGGGTACGCCCACATTCCAGACGGCCGATAATTCTACCACGTAAAAAATCATCTAAATGCGTCCTTTGTGTCATAATTATTCGGTTATTGCACTGAAATGCTTATAAAGTGCCTGCGAACAATTTTACTTCTCTGCCTTATTCCTTATATATCACTCTCTTACACTCTCGTCATTGTGACGTACCATCGGTGTCATCTGGTTACTTCTTGAAATTTGCATATTATTCTTGAAGATGTGTGTAGTGATTTTACAGGTGATATATTTATTTTAGAGTTCGATTTCCGCGTGACTCCGAATTATCCCTAATTTATGGACTTGAGTGTAGAAAGGAAAATCCTGCAGCACACTACCAAGAAAGTAATATTTCTGATTTTGTTTTCATATGAGAAAAATATGATCTGAAAGATAATTCGGAGGAATTAGTAATCACGTGAGAGCAACGAAGGTAGAAATCAGAGCCTATTAACAAAACCGGACTCTTGAGAAAAATTTCCGCAAATGGCCTACTCTAATAATTCAGTACACTTTTATTTAACGTTTTGAATACGAAAAAACATGTTTTTATATTAGATACGCTTTTTTGCACAATTTTTTATTTATTATTTGTTATGTAAATTGTGAGCTTATATATTTTTGCATCTTATTTTTTGTTTCTCAAATAAACCTGAAAAATGTAATCCAAAGAATTTTCATATTTGTTAAAAGCCTTAATTAAATTACAAGTGCAAGACCAAATTCATTCAATCAAATTTTTATCAGTTTAATAATCAGGTATATGAATAAATAGTGGAATTAAAAGCTTTAATTTTTCCCATTATAAAAGATTTTTTTCCCGGAAAATCCGCACAACCCTATTTTATAAATGCTAAAAGTAAACAGTAACCTAACAATATCATTAATGAGGCAGATTTAAAT